TTTCACAAGATTTGCAGAACTGGCTGTAAAACAAGTGCAATTTTGAGCATGTAAACACTGGATCTTTCTCTTCCTGGCTGTGGAGATGAATCAGATGGTGCGGAGTAAAAATGTAGGAAAATTAACCTTTTAAAACTCAGGTCATGCAAAACAAAACCAGTTACAAGGTACATACAAAATAATGAATGCACCAACAAAAGTTCTTCCAACAGTGAGGAGCCAGTCAGCCTTGTTCTGGTGTTTTGGTTGGTTCAACATGCTCGCATGGTTGTGGTTCACTCTTTCAGTGCCACATGAAGCGAGCTAATGTGGAGACTGGAGATGAAACTTTGGTAAGATGTGTAATGGCATTTAACGTGGCACTTTATAGAACATCGAAAAGAGCACAAGCCCACATTAACTAAACTGTTTAATAATACTATCAGATTCGTGGATCTTTACATGCACCCAGGGAATAATTTTGTATTAATACCCTCACCCCCGCTAAAAAATACTTCACTACCATCCTACACAGATTTGTGCAACTGAGCAGTTGCATTTAGGCAACTGGCTGAGTGCCTTGCTCAAGGGCACATGCGACTGTCTTGTTGAGGAACAGGTAAGAACATCCCACTCGCCTTCTTAAGGCAAACCTGCTCCTCTAGCCTCTACGAGCCAGCAAGCCGATCATGCCCTTAATTTTCTGAGAGGATTCGCGGATGACTGAGTGGTTTATCCATGGCTGAGGTAAATGCAGCAGGTGTCCTGTACTGAAATCTTCTGCAAATCCTAAAGTTATTAGGAGATTCCCATTCGCTGAGAGTGCACCAAGGCCGCATACTGTAATTTCCAGGCATCTTCAACAGCATTAGCATTAGCCTTGTTCTGGAGGGAATGGGTGAACCGATACAAGCTCGGGACCACCAGAAACTCCTTCACTGTCAGAGGACTTTGCATTGATTTCTCCATTATTTTGTGCACACCGTGTATTTCTTCTGTTTCATTTTTTAGGTTTCGTTTGCAGAAGTATGCCAATGCTAGAGAAGCTGTCCATGCCATTAGCAGTGAGGCTAGCTGGTATTACGAACTGCCATGTTTTTGTTCATGCATTAAGAACTATTAAGTGAAAGATATCATATTTACAGTACAATTCACATGTAATTACACATATACACTAGAGGCAAGAAAATTCACATTGAAATCAGTTCAACACATTTTTTCTCCTCCTCCTCCTGCTCCACTCCATGAACATGTGTCAAAAGAAATTTATTTTCTCTCTCATATAAGCAAAAAATTTAAAGTGAAAGCATAGAACAGAAGATCCTCACAGCTTTTTGGGGAACAATGTGCTGATTTCGTGTTCAGAAAGCAGGTAATACATGTTCTTCCTGAAATGAGTGGTGGAATTTTGTTGTTGTATTTTTTCTTCTTCTTCTGCGAGCATGCAAGGGCCGCTAATGTTTTTCCTCCGTATTTACTTGGTGTTTATTAAAGATATGCATTTACTATTGACAAAATATATCTATCTATATGTATATATATATATATATCTATATATATATATATAGATATATATATATATCTATATATATATGAAAATGGATGCTTGAATTGATTTCTGTCAATAAACAAACCTGAACAAGAATGTGATACTTGTGTCAGTTTACATCACAAAATGTAGTGTAAGTGCAAATCATTGAACCCTAGTCAAACGCGTTCCACCAATTTACTTAAAAACACTTGTGGTTGTGATACTTTAACAAACAAAAAGTGCTTGTTTATACTAGAACAAACGGTATAATCTGCCCTCATAGTTTGACCAAACTCTTAGCGAAGATCCACCAAATTCCATTCAAACAGTTTGACAAGCTGTTAGTGTGCAGCACAGGATAAAATGACAAAAATTCTTTAAAAAATTAAGAAAAAAAAGAAGTAAATTGTGTGTTACTGGTATGAACTTCCATTTATCATTACTCTTGTTTTATTGTAACCTGCAACATAAATTGGAATATGTATATCTCTCTCCCCGACTCAGAGAACTCTGTGTATCACTTACCAATTAGGGCTGTCACGATAAAAAAAAAAAATCAACAACATTATCAAAATAAAAAAAGGCACTAATGCTGTTGGTCAAATTCTAATATAACTTTGTTTATTTTGGGTTCTTTTTTTGGCAAATTAATGAAACTCATAATACAACTGCATGGAAGTTATGAGGGACTGTGACTGTAACTCTACAAAGGCATACAAAAAAACAAAAGCAAAACATTTATCACATGTGCATATTTAGCACAAGATCCATATTTCATTCCTAAATATCACAGTTAATGCTAATAAACGGTTATCGTGACACCCCTAATGTCGACTGTCCACACTGTGGGAGTGCAATCAAAATCTGACTGCAAAAAAACGACTGGAAAACTGAGGACTGTGTACAGTAATGATGTCAACTGAATGTCTTACATCAGAACATCCTCATATGTTAAAATTGCAGCATATGTGTAACAGGGATGCGTGTAATTATGTCAAAGGGGCACTCCACTTTAGCATTAGTTGGGCGGGTGTTTGGCGCTACTACTGCATATGTGAACGAAGCTGCATAAAGCTTTTGTGCTCCAAGTGATGCCATTTTGGTGGAGTTTCTTCCATAGATGCAAGACTCTAACATGAAAAGATTTATGAGAATAATAATTTTCTTTAAAAACAGACATTTCTCCTTCTTTTTGCTCTAAACTGTCCATCCAGAGTCTGACAGTCTGATAGGAGTGTGATGCTAAATCAGTGAAATGCTATTTTAAAACTGGTACTGGGCTTTTTTAGACGTGTCGTAACCACTGCCTGTGTTTTTTGTTGACAGCCTTAACTCACTTTCATTTGGCAACTTTAAAAGACCCCACCCCCTTTCTATCCTTTACCCTTGCTACAGTACGCCACTGAATATGTAATCTTCACTTAACAAGAGAACCTGCTCCCGGGCTTCGTCAAAATTTCTCATAAATAACTATTTCCTTTTCTTCAGTAATCGCTGTCTTCTAGCCGCATGATTAGACTTTAGGATCACCGAGACAGCAGACTACTTGGCTGCTGGAACAAAGACAAGATATCCTATATAAACACACTACACTATGTATTTGTGTTACTCTTGTTGTCTTTCTGTAAGATTTCATGGGTTGCTTTATATTCAACAGTGATTGTTCTTCTTTTTTTGCTTCTAGAGAATAGGACAACAATGCATAAAATGTACACAATAAGGAATACTAAACTCAGCTCAAGGCTTGGGCCACATCACAATACAAACTTCACTAAGACGTAAGGAGACAAATTGGTTTCTGATTAGCACTCCTTTTATTTTAACACACCTTAGACACCTTAACTTCATTAACATGTTGCCCTTCCATGCCAGTCTTATCCCAGATGTTTGTGTGTAGTTGCTCTCTTTGTAACTTTTATTTTTTTCTCCGGGGCCAATGCCCCTAACTAGGTTTGGTTGTGTATGTTGCTGCTTTTTGCCCTCTTTTCTGTCTTTCAAAACTTTTACAGAGTGTCAGCTGTCCATCTGCTTTAATATCATAAAACGCTTTTTAGTGGCTACAATTTTTCAACCTATATACACTATTAACCAGGCCTATTAAAAAAACTAAAAATACAATGAATTAATTAATGAAATACAAAATCTTAGAGGTTTTTTTTTTCTTTGCAAATGAACCTGAGCACTGAAAATGCAATGTGTGTGTGTCTGCATGTGTGTGTGTAGGTGTGTGTTTGTGTTTGAGCAAAACAGCAATAATCCATATGGATTGTAGGCCTTTTGGTTGTTACATCATTCAATTTATGGCTATTTCTGGGACACTTTCCCCCCCAAGAATCCTTCCTGCTTATAGGCTGTCGTTTCTGATCCTCGGGGTTTGGCGTATGTGTGGGATGGCACTGACTGAGTTTAAGATTGAAACGTTGAATACTTTTTTCCCCACCACCTTCTGAACGTGCTGCCCGATACTGTCCCGATCAAATAATCTCGACACTGAGAAGAATGCTCAACGAACAAAACAAAACAAAAAAAGAATACTATATACTCAATGACAACTGGTCAAACTGTAGGCGGATATGTTGACTCTTTTGAATATACATGTTCGCACATCTTCACTGCAGAATAATTTCAAACGAATCACAAAAGCAATCCTCCGTTTCCTCTTAGCAAACACAAAGCAGGATATGACGTCAATGAACGCTGCATCTAAAGAGCGTCGTTAGGAGGAAAGAAACAGCACAAATATACTTTCATGAGAATACTGAATGATAAAATGTACAGAATATGCTTTTTTTTTTTTATCTCCAAACAATCAAAATGAGTAATGCATACCTTTGACTCTTTTATCTTGTAATGCCCTAGCTCTAGAACATGTTCTGACACTCTCTGAAATCACAGTATTTTTCAAGTCAAAACCATATCTACAATAATCAGTATTTTGTTTTTAACCGTAATGAAAAAAAGGAGCCCTCTCCCTCAACCTCCAACCCCCCACCCAATCCCCACCCTCCCACGAGGACGCGTTTCTAAAAACAACATGAGAAGAGAAAGGAATACAAGGGTTGTGTTGACTCTCGTCGAGAATGCGGCGGTTGTCCCCCATCCGAGCGGCCCTCTAATGGAGACCATTAGGCCAGAGTTGATGTCTGATAAAGAGAACGATATCACTTCAAAAAACCCAAGGAACAACACATAATCCAAACAAGGTTGCTGTACATAGTAGAACCGGAGATTTCCGTGCATGTTATCCATGGGTGATGGCGGGGGTGGGGGAGGTGGGGGATTCGGCTGTAG